CCGGTACCTCAGTAGGTAATTTACATAAAAAATCAATGTCATCTCTGAGAAAACTTTTTACATGTTTACATAAAGGCTTAAGAATAATATCTATGAAATTGCTAAGACGCTGAGTACAGCTCTCGGGTCCTCCCACAATTTGTCTAAATGGTAAATCTTCGGGATTTTCAATAGAAATAACTTCACAATTTTTATCATTAATTTCCTTTTGAATACATTTACTTTTATGTACTTTGGGTAGGCCATAAAAATTAGCGGTTTTAGGTTCAAAATTGGTAAGATAGTCCTTTTCTTGGTCTAGAATTGCTATAATATTGATCATCATTTAAAATGAACATTATCTTTCTTTGATAAAATGATTTATTCATAATAAGAATAGCACCCCCTTCATCGGCTTCTTTAATAACGATGTCTGTATTATTTTTAAGATTAGTAAGGCCTTTCAATTCACATTCAGATAGGTTTTGTTTTGTTTGTTTTACATGAATAGGAGCACTTTCAAGTCTATCACAAAAGTCTTCCAAATATTTTTCTCTCCCGCATGGAGGTATAAAACTGGATTTTTCTTTTTCACCAGACTTTCACCATATTTCCTATTGCCTGCGTCATAATCCCATAGTGCTTACATAACTCTTGTCTTATTGAATAGTATGTCGAGGAGATGCGCTCCCATTAGCTTAGGATACTAGATAGTATCATATATATATACATACATGATGTATGTTGCAGTATATAAATATACTAACTGTGCATGCTTCAACCTCTCTGAAAAATGCTTCAGTAATAAATGGTGTGAGAAATAAATGGTATTTAAATGAAAAAAAATGCCGAGTTGGTTGTGTTACCATTTATATTTGATTTTGGAGAACATTTAAATTCCATTTATCTCAAAAATAGTGTTTCAATGGCCTAAGACTACCAGTAAACCTCCATTTATAATATACTGAATCAAATTAAAAACTTCACATTTTTAAAAGTAATCCCATATATGATATACAAAGGACAAATGTATCAGAGAAGGTAATTTTTAATCATTAATGTCCAAAGAAGGATTTTAATTAACGGTGGTAACCATAATTTGTTCCAAGCACCTACGGTATTCGGTAATAACATCAACAGTTTAAGTCCCAAGCACGAGAATCTGATGGCACATAAGTTCAGTAGCGTGTATGGCCACCATGTGCGTTGACAACTGCCACACAACGCCTCCGCATGGACCTTGTGATGCTTGTGAACACATGATTGGGAAGACGACGCCATTGTTGCTGCAAAATGATGCCAAGATCTTGCAAATTCTGTGGTTGGTTCTGGAGAGTGCGCAGACTTCTGCCAAAAGCATCCCAGACATGTTCGATGGGATTGACGTCAGGAGACCTTGACGACCAGTCCATGACGTTGACTCCCGCATTCTGAACGAAATTCCTTGTCAAAATTGCTGTGTGGGGTCTGGCATTGTCGTGTTGGAAGATCAAACCGGTTCCATGTGCTGCCATAAAAGGCAGAAGTTCTGGTGCCAGTACCTGGTCGCAGTAAGCAGCAGCATTGAGGTTGCCATGGATGACAAGAAGCCTGGACCGTGCATTGCCACAGAAAGCACCCCGCACATGACACTTCCGCCTCGAAATCTGTCAACTTCCTGTACACAACACTGGGCGTACTGTTCATGATGGCACCTCCACACCCTCGCCCTACCATCAGCAAATCGAAGATTTAATCAGGATTCATCACTGAAGACGACTTGATTCCAATTCCTCTGAGTCCATCGTAAGTGTCGCTGTGCCCACAATTGACGTTGATGTCTGTGTAATTGAGTCATAATCGGCCCGCAGTGTGGCCGTCGTGCTTGAAGGTGAGCAGTTCTCAGACGGTTTCGAACAGTTTGCGCACTCAGTCTACCCCTAAACAGTTCATTTCTGGTTGATGTAGCCGTCAAAAATCGGTTACAGAGGTGACGTAGGACAATCTGACGATCCTCTGCATGTGACGTCACACGTGGTCGACCTGGCCGAGGGCGATCAGCGGTGGTACCCGTTTGCTGTAGACGCGTCTGTAAATCATAAACAGTCCGTCGACTACAACCCATCGTCCTTGCGACTTCAGCAAGGGACGTTCCCGTCTGCAACATGCCGATGGCACGTTCACGTTGTACATTTGAAAGGCGTGGCATGACAAATGGCCGTAAAGACTTTTGTTTTCTTGTGTTTTTCTTTTTTTGTTAATGACTGCTAACAAGTATGGGTGAAAACACGTGCGGTATTATGGCCACGTGACCAGTTGCACGTGAAAAACCACTTTTGCCACTATAGTGCTGTGCACATGATTTTGATCGATTCACCTGCACAAAAACGGGTGTTATCTGAAGACAATACGTGGCCATTACTGTTTAAATACACAATAAGGGCCCACAATGATAACTGGTCAAAATGTTAAGATTTTAGGATTGTGAAGTTTTTAATTTGCTTCAGTACATAAATGGTATTTAAATGGTACCCTAAAAAAATGATTTTGATGTTCTCCACAATTCCGAGTATAAATAAATGGCATTAAAATGGTATTTCAATGATTTTGCCATTTAAAATGAAAGTAAATGAAAAATAAATTGAAAATAAATGGTGAAAAACCATTTCTTTTTGCTAAGGGTATAGACGAGCTTGTATTGGGGCTAATCCTTAATGCACTATAGACGAGCTTGTATGGGGGATAAACTTAATGAGTCTAAATTGAAGTAATTGCTGAATGTTATTCTAATATAGGTGAGGACAGATTTACTTAAATAAAATAGTTCAAGGTAATCTATAAGACCATGTAGATATATCTTTTGTCTGGGAGATGGGATATTGATACCTTAGGCTAGTATTTATCTAAAAGCTTCAAATCTATTAAACTATGTAGACATAACTCTTGTCTTATTGAATAGTATGTCTAGGAGATGCGCTCCCATTACCTTAGGCTAGCATCTATCTAAAAAGCTATAACTGAAACTACTGATATTTTATATATGCATTTTACCTGATGATAAGTATTACTTGCTAAACTATAATTATATGAAATGATGTATAATTATTACACCATGATAACTCATAAAAGCACTTGATGTGGATCTAATTATTATAGGATAACTTAGTATAAATGTTATATCATGATAGTATCAAGTTAAGATCACATGTTGTTAGATGAAGTAAGAGTATCAGATAGTCTCATGTTAAGATCACATGTAGTAATATGAAGTGGGATTGTCAGATTTAGTCTCAAGTTAAGATCACATGTAGTTACTTTTTGAGAGGTTAAGATAAATTCCATCTTCCCGAGGCAAGGGAGTCAACTGACTCTAAAAGTCCAGTTTCCATCCTTGCTATACTGGGCTGGAATTTCTGGGCTTGATTGTTATGCCACCAGTGGCTTTTACGAGTTATGTCCCTTCTATGCCCATCCTATTCACAATCAGATTCCACCTCCTATATCTCTTGCATTTCAACAAAATGGTGGTGCCCAATCAAGACGATCTGATTGATTAGGAAGAGAATATATGGATGTCAACTTCTTTATTATGAGGAACACAACGTTTTGGAGTATATGCTTACTCCTTTATAAAGAAGTTGACATCCATATATTCTCTTCCTTATGTGTATAACTTCGAAATGCCTTTCAAAGGCCTGATCTGATCAATTATCATCAAGATATATATTGTAATAAGACGGGTCCTACCTCGTGAAGTGCATCAAATCATTTCAGCACCTTGATTAAAAACATGAATAGATTTGGAAAATACCTGTCGACACATCTTTTGCAAATCCTACAGTTGACTTAAATCTGCACGTTGAAAGCCATGTTTACAAACCGGATGTTGATTTCGTTTCTAGATTTTGATTGGACTATGCATAGACTCGTTAGTCCAGCCAAAATATAACTCCATAATTGCAGTCTAGCTAGTATGGAAAGGGTGTATGCTGGACTTTTACAGTTAATTAATTCGCTTGCCACGGGAAGATGGATGAATTCTGGCTTCTACCTGCCCGCTGGGTCTCGTTAGCTGATGTGAGTCAATTTGCCAGCTAACACAACTGACCATGACAAGTGACTGGGCTACTGTCTGTGAGGATAGCAGAAATTCACTTTGAACTCTGAACATTGATTGGTTAACCATGATCTTTGAAGATTTTGATATTACATAGGGTGCATGTTAATTAATTTCCTCCAACTAAACAGACAAAAAGAACAGTGAAAGCTTATAGAATGCTAATATGTGGAAATACCCCTGATAGTTATAGTTAAATCAAAAGAGTATCCCTTCAGCGAAAGCATTTACAGATTTTTGATTACTTGGATGATGAGATGACTGAGTTGGATTGGATTCCATTTCTGTTTCATAGCTTGATATTTAATCATGTCATGTCATAATGTTATGTCAATAGATCTAGAATAGTAAAGATAAGCATTTAATTTATTTAACGTCGTAAATAAAATTGTTATTGTCTAATTCTGACTAACGGATGTAAACAGAACAAGAACATAATGTCATCAGTATCCTCAGCCGTTTTAAATATGTGCATAAATCAAACCATGTATATGTAATATACCTCATTATACCAAACAGTTTGGTGAGTACAACTGACATTATGACAGATGACTGCAAAATGAAACCTCATTTGAACCATAAATTAACTTTTAAACACAAAATCTAAAAAAAACCACCTCAATACCACAAATCACCAGTTCAGCATTTCCCTGATACAAAGAAATGAGAAACATTTGAGTTATTCTCTCGAAACAATCCCTTCCGTTGTTTGATAGGGATAAAAATGTCTTCCTTACTCCAAGTGGGGTAATTTGCAACTCACTGAAAGAGACAGTGCATTTCACATGAAAAGAACTATAGGTTTTATTTAATGTGAAAACATCAATTCAATTTTATTTTCACATACTCACATGCAATTAATGTATGCCCAAAGGAATATTTACATTTGGGAAATATGTAATGTTGTTTGTAAACTTGTTCTCAGACACACACCTGGTGAAGAGTGTGGACAAGAACGTCTACATGCTCGCCCTCCTGCCCGCCTGCCTTGCCTGTGTGGCAGCACTCATGTTCTTTATCTACCATAGACATTTCAAGACGAACTTAACCATGCAACAGACAAGATGTTCAGCCAAACAGGTATCTGAATTGAAACATTGATGTAGTATTTGTTTTGTGTTGGTAAAAGTGACAGACAAATGAGAGGTTTATGGTCTCAAGTTTAGGCCTCAAGCAGGCCAAAATATAAAATTACAGGTACGGTTATAGTTTTCTTTTCTTCAAGGAAATAACATTTAGAGCGGTAGGCAGCAGTATCCGGACAGCGGTAGTAGCTGGACACTCACCAAACATTTAACAGGCAAGCATAATCCGTTTTCCTCATAGGCCATTTACAAATTTGTCAGCTGGAGATAACTCTCTAAACAAACCATCCACGATCACCTTTCAAACATGATTGCCAGGCCCCTACATTTTCTTTCCTTATCGCTAAGCAACGCTGTTTTTGGTTTTAAGTTAGTGTATTACAAACGACTCATTTGTATTAACTTTGGTGTAGATTAAGACTTTAAGTAAATGTAACGACATTCCACGAAAGAAGACTCGAAAATTCAGTAAATATACTCAATATACTCACACCCAAAAGAAACGCAAGTCGAGTATGCAGTATACATGTTATTTATTTTCAACAGTAAAGACAAGAAATACGAAAAAGGACAAGATTGACAAAAATTTGACTGAAGACACTTTAATGGATTAAAAGGCAGATGACATAATTGTTTTTTTCAAATGTTAAGGGCTTACACAGTTTCGGGTCAATACCCAAAATGTCAGTCAATACCTGGTGTGACCACCATTAGCATTGATCACTGCCACACATCTCCTGTACATTGAGTGGATGAGACGATTTGTGAAGGCCCTAGGGATCCTCCTGCACACATCCAGAGCAGCTGTGCGTAGTTCTTCGGCAGTTGTAGGGACTGGGCGCACATTGTGCAGACGCCTTTGAACCTCATCCAACAAGTATTCGATGGGGTTCAGATCAGGGCTGAGGGCTGGCCACAGTAGAACACTGATGTTGTGTTGTTGCAGAAAGGCCATGGTAGCTCTGGCAACATGGGGACGAGTGTTGTCCTGCTGGAAAATGTGTTCTTAATGTTGTTAAAAAAATGGAACAATGAGGGGTCTGACCACTTGGTCGATATACCGCTGAGCAGTGACGCTGTGACCCCGACCTTGACCAACATTCAGAAAGCACATGGGTCCAAGTCTTGCTTTAAGTCCAATCCCTGCCCATATCATGACGCTTGGTCCACCCCATGGATCCCTTTCCACAGCATTTCTGTCAGCGAACGATCACCTTGACGCCGCCAAATTCTGACTCTTCCGTCTGCATGGGAGACACGAAAGCGACTTTCATCAGAGAAGATGACTCGCCTCCACTCACGATGACGCCAGTTGCGATGACCCTGTGCCCACTGAAGTCGTGCTTGTCGATGCCGTGGTTTGAAAACAGGACGACATGCTGGTCGGCAACATCTGAGGTTGTTGGAACGGAGACGTCGGATCACAGTGTCCCGGCTAATGTGTCGATTATGTGTTCCTATGGTCTGTCGAGCGCTTTCACTTGCAGTTAGGAACGGATGTCACTGGTATTGACGGGTAATCTGCCGATCTTGTCGAGGTGTGGTGACCCTAGGGTGACCGCTCCGAGGAAGGTCATCTGTGGTCTATGTAGCATTGTATCGATGCAGGAGACGGTAAAATGTGGTTATGTTAACGTTGAAATGACGGGTAACATCTTGGACAGACTCTCCAGCTTCCAAACGTCCGATAGCCTGGTTTCTCTAAATTTGAGTTAGGCGTGGCATTGTTGACCATAGAGTGGTAGGTCCAAGAATCGGCCACAGTTTTATACCCACTACAGTTCGTTACAGTTCGTGCCTTTTTCGATTTCGCAAGAAATGGGTACATGATACCCACATATTCATTGAAATGGTGCGTTTTGGCAATTCGTTTTTTATGTTGCGTTTTTACTCGGGGCTTCCAAAATGCAACCAAAAATATTGATAACACCATCAGGCTTCACTTCATGCTAAAACTCGTATCAATTTATGGTTCTGTGTTTGTTACCTATTTGCTTAAAAACACTTGTGTTTCTTTTGCGTGTGAGTATAGTACTGTTCAAGAGATGTCCATGTACTACCTTGCTGAAAAAAAGGGAGTACTTGGACATTTTCATTTTAAATATTCAGTTAAGTAACGTCTTTACATTTCAACATATAATACTTTATTTTTAGTGTACATAGTGATATATAAATTAATAAACCTTAATGCATGATTTATAAAATAAGATGGAAATGAAATCTTTATTTGCGTATATATCATAACAAAGTAATTATATATAGATGTCTACATTCAACCTATTCATATAATAAAGTAGATTTTCTTCAAAAACATTCTTAATAGTCTTTTTTTTATTATTTATTATTGTATTTTAATTTTACGGATTTTTAAATATCTGTAGAATCTATTCTATTTATTCAGATCTGCTAATATATTTTACGACAACATTTAGGAAGTAATGAAATAATAATTAATAATTTATGCATTTGTATAGCGCAGCATTCACTGTGCATAAGTGCTCTGTCCGCTCAAATCTCTAAAAAGGCGGTTGAAGCAGTCACCAGTCACAAAATTTTATCCAGAAAAGCTGCTCTATCTTATGTTATTCCTCAAGCTAGACTCTGTGATAAAAATAACAAAAAGTGCCAATGGAATATCAAAAAGTTGAAGAGGATCAACTGGCCCAATGGTTATACAAATTTCAAAGATTTGGTATGATCGTGTCAAAGTAGACTAAGTTCGTTGTAATAAAAGTCATACATTAAGTGTTTTGACAAGTCGAGAATACTCATACCGACGTACACCGGTCTGTTGAATTTTATATTACTCTTCTGCATATGCAACGCGGCTAAGTCGTTATCGAATATCTTGCTTCTGTTAAAAGCCGGACTGGCTATAAGTTTCCTGAGTCTTTCTTCCTCATTAGATCTGACTAATTTAACATCAACACGCTTCCTTAGATTCTCCATAGTTTTACCAAATACCGAGTTATTCATGAGCTTATACAGATTCTTTTCGAAATCGCTGGTAGCTATCTTTCTTAAATCTGTGTTCAACCTTATATAGGGCTCCATCCAAGGGCTTTGATCGAACTTTAGAACTCTGTGTATTTTCTTAAGTTTCATACCTAACGATAGATACAACTGGAGATTTCTGTAGTGAACTATATATTTTGTTTTATCCATCAAATTTGGTACGAGTTTTTCTACGTTAGCTAACCTACTATTACCCATCAAGGAGCGTTGATATTCCGACATCCAATCTTTATTAACCATTAATCTTTCGGGAGCTAGCGGTTAACTGTTATGATCTTTATGTAACGAACTTGGATATTCCAAGTCAACTTCTAGTATGTACCCTTTATTCGCATCATTATTATGAATATTATCGATATCATTACCTTCGATCCATTCAAAACCACCCGTGGGTAAAGGTTGACTCATAGCCCATCCGTACAAATTGTTAGCGTCGAGATATAATATGTGCGTGTCGGGTTTACTGGGATCGTATCCTTCCACTAATTTATTATTAGCCTTAGAATACCTTTTAGCTGCCATCGATATACCACCTCTTAATCCTTTCTCAATAAACAAGTGCATATCGTAATCTGTTAGTAATTTTAGTTCTACACCGGTCTTCTTCAACAATGCATCCCACGATAGTCCGGGACTGGAATAGTACCATGCCGGGTCCAAGCCGTATTGTTTGAAACACGTCTTTCTAAATATCTCGAATATATCGGCGAGTAACAGTACATCGGTTTTTAAGTACAAATCTTGATAATCGCCTAAATTCTTACAACCTAATTTATCCCAGACCGTCAGAGCGTGTTCATAATCGGCATCTGTTATTCTAGATTCTGTTAAGTTACTATAGAATGATTCGAGGGTTGGTAATTCAGTTTCTTCGAATCTAGACCAATCATCCATATATTCGTAAGGATATACACCTTTTCTCAGCAACAAATGACGTGTTATCTTATCGGTATATTTATTTGTTATCGCGAAGTCATCGGGATTGTTCGCATTAGCTAAATTGTCCAGGGAAGATAACAGAAACTGTACGGAGTCTATGAATCTAAGCCCATTACTTTGCTTTGTTCTAGATTTCCCATCCTTGTCCCTATAATGTATAGGTTTAGTCAACGAGAACGATATGTATTTTTCCATATTATTAGGAATGCACGTTAAACCGCCGTCGGTCTTCGAGATAGCTTGCATAATGAGATGTGAATCGTATCCCCTAAGGTTATGAAACACAACGGGGATGGGTATTGTTTGAGAATTCATTTTTAGTTTCAAGTTACACTCGTTATGAGCGGCTCCCCGATAATTACCCATGACGTGACAATGATCTCTTACGGAATCCCCATCCAGGGGTTTATTACAAACGTGACAACTCGTTGACTTCTTATGGGCCCTCCAATCATCCCTCGTCATACGCATGGGTTTCTTACACGATAATTTTTCCCTGATTATTCTCTCTTCATTTTGTAGATATTCTAGGAACTTTCCCGCTGCATCGGGACCTCTGTAAATCACGGGCGGGTTTGTTTTCCCATCATACCTTACAACTATATATCCAAACCCACAAGGAATATGTTCTTGAGTTTTGTAGGTAAAACTACTATCTTGATTATTATCTTGATTATTTTCTATGGGTTTGATAAGCGCTTCGAAGTCGGCGTAAATTACGTACGGTACTGGCATTTGATTACAATAATGTTCAAATTTTAATAAATTTTTCCCTCTTTAGGCATATCGATCCTGATAGCATTCTGTCCAACACCTCTACAGTCTTCTTTATGCGCTTCTAATAGATCTTGTCTGCTGTACCCATGCAGGCATCTTTCACAGAAATATTTCTTTTCTTTATGTTTTGTTTGATCGTATAATAGCCTGTTTAAACTCTTTATCCACGTATAATGATATTTACCATCTTTTTCGATCAGAAATGAATTGATTCTGGGGATATTTTCCGGAGCGGAGCTTATCCTGTGTACAACAATTCCTTTA